TGAATAACTCCTGGGCCTGTCAGGGAGCTGAGACCAAACACTAAGGGATAAATGGAACCTCTGCCTGGTCCCTTTGATAGGGAGAGTTTTTTGGTAGGGGCTTTATCCATGAGTGCAGAGTGGGGAGAACTTTGAGATGGGTCAGTCAAGACATTCTCAATTTTATCAGATGTCCAGACCGCAGGGTAACGTTGGGCTTCTGGTCTGTAACACAAGTCTTAAGCCAGATAAGTTTTCCAATGAACTCTCTAAATTCAGCACCAGCAGGGCTATTATCAGAGATTTGATCACTTGCCTAAGAAAAGAGTTTAGACAATGATAATATAATGTTAAAATAAAGAATGATTGCCCTTTCAGAATGAGGAATTTTTGATGTTTGTTTAAAAACAAATATAAGGCTATGACAGTCAGCACAAATACAATAGATTGTTCTAGTGAAATATGTCACCTCTGCTACCTACATAGATTGTTTAGAGGGTGAAAGATAATCTTTTACTACTTCTTGTTAAGAGCAGACAGAAAATTCTATGACTAATTTATTATTTTAACACCGAAAACCTAATTCTGGTTTTATATTTAAATGCTAGGCATCAATGGATCAAAAGCTTTTCCTTTTTAATGTTATGAATGGATCCATGGAAACAGCCCAATTCTGGCAAAATTTTAATCTTTCATTACATATTTTCAGACTATCTGCAGCTACTACCAACCAAGGCAAATAAATTTCCCTTTCCACAAGGCTTCTCTATAACCTTCAGTGTTTTGTTCATCCAGATTTTGTCCTTCATTATCTTCTTTTGTATTCTGGGAAAGTCTGTATAGACTTTGAAGTCTTTGCTAATTTAGACATCTGTGTAATCTTAGGATCAGTTTCTGTTGGCTGCTTACTCTTACTATAGGCCCTGTTTCGCTTTTTTAATCTAGTAATTTTTATTACATGATTGGATATTGTTACTGATGAATTATGGAGGCTATGGATTTTTAAATCTTTTTGACATGTAATTATTGTGGTAGACAGTTCAGTTATTGGCTGATCACCCTAAATTTGGATAACTTGGCTTTACACTTTTTTTTAGAGCAAATCTGTAGATACTTCCCAAGCTCAGTTAATTTGTTGGAACTCATACTTTAAAATCTCCCCTGCAGATTTCAAAAGAGCCTCATAATAGGCATTGTTTAAAATAAATTAGTCTTTTTTTTCCTCATTGAGTTTATCAGCACATTTTAGGTATACAGTACAGTTACATTCATTATTGTGATCTTGTACCTTTACATGACAGGTCTTGGTTCTCATTCAAATTAGTCTTAATATGTAACTTAATCTTGGCAAAACTTACACTGATGTCTCAGCTAGATGTTTGAGGCACTAAGGAGGTGATTAAAAGATTGCTTCACTTTGGCTGTACCTCCAAAGTCCTCTGAACAAATTGATTTTTAATATCTTTATTCTATTTTTGTTCCCATAGCAGCTGACCTCTAGTATGCTACTGCTGAATCTACCCACTCCCTGGTCAAAAACTCATGGGGACTCTCCACATAGACTCCTGGGACTCCCAAATACACAACTTCATCCCTTTCAGAGCCCATCCCATAGGATCCAGTCAATTCAGCCACTTCACTGTCCGATTCTGCTTCATATTCTTCTGCTCAGCTGTTTCACTTTTATTTGAATTGAGCTTGCTGAATCGCAGTGTGGGAATTGTCCCAAGGCAGTGAGCTGGGCGATCCTGAATCTCTCTGACAATGACTTTTTCCTGGGGACTGTGGTCTTGTGCCACCTGACATGCACTGCCAAGGAACACACAGCTCTTCTCCTTGCTAATTTTGAGGCTGCTTACAGCCCACAGGCTAGTTTGGTGCCACAAACAATGTCACAGAGCAGAAATTCTGCTCCCAATTGTAAATAATCAGAAATACCTTGAAGAAAAGTTCTTAACTTCTTAGTTAAATTGTCTGTGCCTTTATCTTTAGGGATATGACTAAATAGCAGCAGCAGAGAATTAACAAGTTTTGTTTATAGAATGGTAACTTTAATCTTTTCACATAAGGATGAATTTGTTCTCTTGCAACAGAGGATTAATATCCTGAAGATATAAAGAACTCAAAAAACTTAACTCCAAAAACCAAATCAATAAAGGACAAATGACTTGAACCGATAATTCTCAAAAGAAACACAAATAGCCAATAGGTATATGAAAAAACGTTCAGCATCTTTGGTCATTTGGGAAATTGCAAGTCAAAACTACATTGAGATTCCATCTCACCTGGTCAAGGTGGTTATCATGAAGGATACAAAAAACAATAAAAGCTGACAAGAATAATGGGGAAAGAAGAACACTTATACAGTTTTAGTGGGAATGTAAAGTAGTACAGTCACTATAGAAACCAGTGTAGAGATTCATCAAAAAAATAAAAATAGAGCTACATTTAACCCAGCTGTACCTAATTCCTGGATATATAGCCAAAGAAATTAAAGTCAGCATATTATAAAGATACCTGCATACCCATGTTTATTGTGGCACAATTTGCAGTAGCCAAATATGGAGCTAGTCTAGTGGCCATTAACAAATAGATGGCTAAATAAAATGTAATATATAAAGAAAAATTATGTTATTTGCAAGAAAATGGATAGAATTAGCAAGCATTGTGTTAAGTAAAATAAACTAAGAAACACAAGTATCATGATTTTCCTAATATGTAGAATCTAAAAACAGATTATGTGAAATAGGAAGAAAAGGGCTAAAGGTGAAGTGGGAAGGGGAGGGGAAAGGAAATTAGAGAAGAAAAAATGGAAAAAGGAAAAAAATGGAAACAAAGTCTTTGTAAATAGGGAAGGGTGAAGGGGGTGAAGGGAGGGCAGGGGTACAGGGAAAGAAAGAAGAACCAAGATATATAATGTAAAGGTACAAGATCCCAATGATAAATATAGCTGTATTGTTTGCTTTAAATGTACCAATAAACTTAAGAAAAATAAAAAAGAAAGTAGAGGGGAGACATTATTAGAGGGATATAAGAGGGTAAGGGGATGGATGTGATCAAAGTGTTATATGTAAAAATACCACATTGAAACCTATTATTTTGTAAAATTAATATGCACTAATAAATTTTTTTCTCATTGAGTTTATTGGTACATTTTGGGTATACAGTACAGTTCTATTCATCATTGGGATCTTGTACCTTTATATGACAGGTCTTGGTTCTCATTTTTCCCCTTACCCCTACCCTCCATTCCCTCCTCCCTTCCCTATTTACAAATACTTTATTTCCATTTTTTCATTTTCTCATATTTTTTTCTTTTCCCTTATTTCCTTTCCCCTACAAAAAACATATTTTAAAAGAATAGCTACCAAAAAATGTCTCTTAGCTGAGGAGACTGAGGCAGGAGGATGGTAAGTTCAAGGCCAACTTGGACTATGTAGTAAGACCCTATCAGTCATAAACCAAATGCACAAATGTGTCTCTGCATAGAGCCATGCTATGTTGCTACACTATACCAGGTATGTAGGAACAGGAGAGGAAAAGTCAGAGAACAACCAATAGGAGCCTGGGCAGTACAAGAGCATCTCTTTCTCTGGGAGCTTGTGTAGTTAGGAATAATGGTAACAACTACCTGTCATTTATTGAGCACCTCGTGTGTGCCAGGGATTCTAAACTGCCTTCTGTTTGCTGGTCACAGGAACCCTGTGAGTGATGTGTATCATTAGCTACATGTGAAGAGATGAAGAAGCCGTAATTGAGTGACTAGCTCAAGGTCAAAAGCCAGTAACTGAGAGTCAGGACTTGCTCCCAGATGTGTCTTCCAGAAAGTAACATAGCCATTAAGTAGATTTACCGTGAAGCTAGTGAAGCTTCAGTTCAGGGCCTCTCACTTGCTAGATCCCTGTGAATGCTGGAAATTAAGACTCTTCCAGGTAGAGAGGGAAAGCCAAATCATAGCTAGAAAGCATTTCTAGGCAAGCATTTCTGGGACCTTGCCTAAAGAGCTGTCAACAGCAAAATGCTGGCAATTTCTTGTAGTTTATTTTCTAACTGTAAATACTCACTTTTATAACTACCCACAGTATGTGTCTGAAAGGTGAAAAGTTCAATCATCAGAGAAGGCTATAAAAGAAATTAGCATGGTTATAAACAATTCCATGTAGTTTCATATTGCTGAATCATGACATGGGAAGAGAAGAGTCACAGGAATTTGGACTGGTCTGGACCATGTTTTGAGACATTCAAATTAATAATATACATGTAACTATATGATATTCTAAGGAATGTGGATTTTATGCTATTGAATGTCCTCGCCCTCAGCAGCAAATAGGAATCGGTAGGTCTGGGAAAGTGTAAAGTGTTTTTGTTTCTTAAAGCGTCAGAAGTGACTCATGTATAGCTAGGAATACTGTAACCAATGAAAAGCTAGAGAAGGGTTTGAAACAGGAAGTAACATAACCAGATGTGTATTTTAAAAGCTAATTCTAGCTTAAATTAATGGGGGAGAGGCTTGTAGTAATCCAAGCAAGAGATAATATCTTGGGGCCCAGGATTTAGCTCAGTGGTTTTACCGCCTGCCTCGCAAGCACAAGGACCCGAGTTTGATCCCCAGTACCAAAAAAAAGAGAGAGATGATATCTTTTAATGACCACATAATATTTCATAACATTAATTTTTCTATTTTGCAGTATGTATATCTATAAATTCATTATTACTAAAAAAGAACATATTTTAATTTCTTTGCTGTTACTGTTAACTATTTCACTAGGACTGACCCCCCCCAGGAGTAATTCTTTTGGGTCAAAGAAAATGAGTAGTTTTGGGTCCTGCCTATGAATTATCATAATGGCTATAACAAATGTACAGTTTTAACTTCTATGTGGTAGGCCAAACATGAACTTTACAATCATTTTGATAGTCTCAATAAAAGAAAAATAATTTTTAATTTTTATTAGCAATAACCAAAACAATGTTTATATTGTTTACAGTAATAATTTATTAAGTACATTTATCTTTAATAGATTGATGAACTCCCAGAGGGAGCTGTGAAGCCTCCAGCAAACAAGTATCCTATCTTCTTTTTTGGCACCCATGAAACGTAAGTCAACAAAATAATGTAAAGCTGCAAGAGCTCTAATTTAACTCTACCAGACTCCATTGTTTATAGATTATTTATATAATGTTTTATATGTTGTTAAAATCACTATAATCAGTTATATAAGGCTTAAAATGAGTTTTTTCTTAATTCTCTTTTCATTCCTGATGAAATATTTTTCCTAATGAACTTCTCATTTATAGAAGTCTTTATTACTAAAAGCACTTCTTTGCTTTTGGATGTCATTTCTAGTTCTACTTAAATATTGTCATCATCTGGAGGAGTTTTTTGTTTTTTGTTTTGTTTTGTTTTTTTGGTACTGGGGATTTTACTCAGGACCTTGTGCTTACGAAGCAGGTGGCGGCACCACTGAGCTAAATCCCTGTCCGTGGAGGTTTTTTTTAGGACACTTTTAAGTCCTAGAGTGGTTCCCTCTCTACTCCATTGTATCTCTTGTAGCTTATATATATTTCCCCTAGAGAAATTTCTTCCATTCATATTTCAGAGAACAAAGTTATGAGGCTTATTCAACTTGCTGGACCCTTAAGTAAACATACAGGCTCCAGTAATATAGACATTTATTCCCTTCTTTTGAAATAATCCAGGGGTAAAAAGATCAAGATGGATAAACTGCTCACCCTGGAGTTCCTTCCATTTTGGCTTATCACTCACTGGTGTTACCCTCTTCTGCTTAATTTAAAAAAAAATCTCAACAGTATATGTGCATTTTGTAGGAAGAGGAAAGGAGAAAAGACAAGTAAAAGCAAGTAATTTCTTTTAAGAAAATGACAGGAAGTTGTATATGTGACTTCCACTTGCATTCATTCCATTGGCAAGAGCTTGGTCATATCACCACATCTAGCTGCAAGAGAAGCTCCAAAAGCATCTCTAGCTAGGCAATGCTAAAAACTTGGGAGAAATAATCCATTAATTAAAAAAGAATGGATACCGGGGGACAGTTGGCAGTCTTTGATATTTAAGAATGTATATGGTTATTTATAAAAGGGAAACAGGGCCAGGGATTTAGCTCAGTGGTGCTGCACCTGCCTCACAAGTGCAAGGTCCTGAGTTCGATTCCTGGTACCAAAAAAAGGGAAACATGGTGTAGAAATTATAAATGTAGAGGAAAGCTATGAATTATCAAAATCTAGTAAGTCTTTAAATTCAGAGTCATCCTCTCTTTTTATTTGTATGTTAGTAGAACCTGGCATGATCCTCTCTTGGCTTGTCTCTGCCACTCTGACATTTTCCTCAGTTTTGTTTTGAAAAAGCCGGGAGAGAATTCCCAAAACAAACTTCCTTCTTCATGTATGAAATACTTTTTCTTTCAGGAATTTAGTTGGTTATCATTTGTATTGGCATTTGAGGGAGGCTTCATTTTGTTTAGTTTTGGTACTAGGGATTGAATGTAGAGCCTCAAGCAACAGGGAAGCACATTTCCATTAAGCTCCACTCCCATCCCTATTTTTATCTAATATGCACTATGCTATATGCAACTCCGCATGTTTTCTTCTTTAGGTTGCTGGGAGGCTTTTAGAAGTCAATGTTATACTTATAATAAATACAAAGGACTTTGTGATTACATATTTTTATGTTTGCCTCATTCCTGCCCCCATTTTATGTACATACTCTTGTTAGGATTTTTCATTAGGATAGCCTATCTCTAAGTGATCTGGCTGTATTTCTGGGAAAAGGGTAATAAACAAAACTATGACATTTCCATTGTATGTACCAAAATCAGCCATTTACTAACACTGTGTGTTTACTCTTAGTCCTGTAGTAAATATCTACTTTCTAGGCATTCTGTAAGACACTGGGAAATTTTAAGTGCCCCTAAAGAGTGCCCCCTGGTAGATATGACTGATGAATACAGCAGAATCATTCCAGCGAACAGTGTAAAGGATTTTATAGAGCTGTCTCTTATAGCAATCCTCAATGTAAGTTTGTGGCATCATTCCAAGACTGAATTCAATAAAAGCCATTCTACCAAGGATCATATGATACAGTATGTGGGTTTTTTAATTTTATTTTTTTCTGATTTGATCATTCAGAGTCAAATTTTAAAATGTCTGGAAAGAATGAACTTCCAAAACCCTGCAGTAACATTGTTTTCTGCTGAACTGTTCTGAGTGCTGGGTGTCCCTGAACCTAGAATGATACTGGCCCCTTCTGTGAGGCAGAAATTGTGTCAGTGTTCTCACCTTACATACACAGAATTTCATCCACCATGTGGCACACATAAGCATTCTACAAAATAGCTGTTGAGTGAATTAAAATTAATTAAATGAAATAAATGAAGAGAGTGATAGTATGAGAAAGGTGAGAAACTTAACAAAAATTCTATGTTCAGATCAACTGAGAGTGTACCCTAAGGAGGACCCACAGTTTTCTTCAAAACATGACATTGAATATGTTCATGCCCAGGCAGATATGTGATTGGAAATTCAGGTTCTTCACTTCTGTATCACATTACTCCAGCAGGTTTAGTGTGGACAGTCTTCTAGGAAGCCTTTGTTAGAAATATTATAATCCTGAGAGCATAGAGATTTGAACGATTTAATTTTCTCCCCTAACCATTAAGATTTGAAAAACAGCCAGGGATTTAGCTCAGTGGTTCGGTGGCCTGCCTCACAAGCACAAGGACCTGAGTTCAATCCCCGGTCAAAAAAAAAAAAAAAAAAAAAAAAAAAAGATTTGAAAAGCATACAGCAAAGTTAACCAACTGAGAAGGAATTAGGTTTATGGCATCATTAGTAATCCAGGAAAAAGGCAGGATTGTTTATCAAAAATAAAACTTGTCTTAGAATAGTTCATTCATGGTCTCTCTCTCTCTGGCAGCAGCTAACACAGCCAGTTGTTGAAGTCATTCCTGATGAATGACAATAAAAATGTATCATTTATTCATAAGAGAATGTTTTCTAGTCTCTACAGCCACAGAGATGCCTCTCATACATCTAAAGGTGACATTAAAGAACATAATGCCGATCATGGTGACATGCCTATAATCCCAGCATTCAGGGAGACTGAGGCAGAAGGATCACAAATTGAAGCCTGGGCTGGGCAACTTAATGAATTGCAAGACTTTATCTCAAAATAAAAAGGTTAGATATATAGATCAGTGTGAAGGCCCTAGATTTAATCTCCAGTTTAAAAAGAAAGATAAAGAATGGCTGCTATCAAAAAAAAAATCAACCAATAATAAATGCTGGTGAGGTTGTGGGGAAAAAGTAACCCTTCTCTACTGTTGGTGGGAGTGTATACTGGTGCAATCGCTGTGGAAATCAGTATGGAAATACTTCAAAAAGCTAGGATTAGAGGTCCCATTTGACCCAGCTATATTCCCATGCTGGGTTTCTTCCCAAAAGAATCATACCACATGTGCACCCATGTTCATAGCAACACAGTTTGTAATAGCAAAACTTGGAAACAGCCCAGTTGCCCATCAGCTGGAGACTGGGTAAAAGAAAATATTTTTTAATAAAATGGAGTACTACTCAGCCATAAAGAATGATAAACTAGAAATATAGCTAAATGGATGCATATTGAGGCCATACTCAAGTGAAATAAATAGGATACCCATGTGTAAAATACTGAATAGTTTCTCTGGTGTGAGAAACTGAAAGTGTAAGAATCAAAATGTATAACAGATAATGTGAAATAGGAAGAAAAGATTCGAAGGGGAAAGGAAAAAATAAGAGAAAAGGAAAAAATGAAAACAAAGTCTTTGTAAATAGGAGTGGAATGGTTGAAGGGAGGACAGGGGCATGGGGAAAAAATAAGAACCAAGATATATCATGTAAAGGTACAAATTCCCAATGATGAATATCATCATAATGTATATCTAAAATGTACCAAAAAAATTAATGAATTTTTTAAAAAGATAAAGTGATGGAAGGCCAGAACTTACTAAATTGACCCATTCACCCTGACTTTTTTCTCATTATTAAGGCCCATGCAAGCTCTGGCTAGTACAAGTAGCTGACAGCCAGCACTATTAGTTAGCATAGCCCACAGTTACTTCCTGTATGCAGAGTCTTAAGCTGTAGAAAGTACAGAGCAACAGTGGGACCACTTCTGTTTCTCAGAGACACTAGGTATCTCCCACCTCAGAGCCTTTGTACATGCTCTGCAGCCAGCTTTGCCTCCTTTTAGTTCTTTCCTTAGATGGTTCCTTGTAGGTGAGCCTTCCCTGAGCTTCATATCTCAAATTGTTAAATTTACCCCTAGTCCTTCCCACAGTCTTCTCTTCCTTTTTTTAGTAGACATACTGTATGTTTATTAACCATTTTCTTAGCACTAGAACATGTACTCCATGAAAGCAAAGATGTCTCTCGTAGAATCCCCAGCATCTCTGAAACAGTGCCTGACACATTATAGATGTTCAGTCATCATTTGTTGAATAAATAAATAAATCTTAGTTTAAAATGGAAGCTTCAGGATGTCAGCCAAAACTGGGCTTCCATAGTTTCATTTACCAGGTTAAGGTCATGGATACTAAGACTATTTCAAATACATATGTCTGTTAGCCACCCCAGAATTTATTCCGACTCATTTTTGTGGTTATGATTAATGTTTTTTAAAGTTTAAATTGGATAAGATTATCTTTACTTTGCCACTTGTGATTTTTTATTGCTTAGTGCATTTAAAAACACTAATAAGCCAGCCAGGCATGGTGGCACACGCCTGTAATCCCAGCACCCCAGAGGCTGAGGCAGGAGGATCGCTGTGAGTTCGAGACCAGCCTGGGCTACATAGTGAGTTCCAGGTCAGTCTCAACTACATAGTGAGACTCTGTCTCAAAAATAACGAAAAAATTCACTAATAAGCCAGACACGGTGATGCACACCTGTAATCCAGTACTCAGGAGAGTGAGACAGAAAGATCACTATGAGTTCAAGGCCAGCCTAGGCTACATAGGGTGTTCAAAGCCAGCCTGAACTACAAAGCAAGACCCTGTCTCAAAAACACCATTGAATGAATGAATGAATATAAAATCAAAGTAGCACAGGCCGTGTTTGCCAGCTTGAAGGGTATATCTAAAACATATTGTGACATATGCCTAACTTTCAATTTCCTTTCTATACTGTGCTCCAATACCTCAATTAATATTTAGAATTAAGGTATCTTCTCTCTGAAGGTCAGCATGTCAACTCTAACATCTCTCTGCAGTGCATTTCTAGGTCCCAAAGATCTTTTTCCCTATAAGGAATACAAAGACAAGTTTGGAAAGTCAAACAAACGGAAAGGATTTAATGAAGGATTGTGGGAAATAGAAAATAACCCAGGAGTAAAGTTTACTGGTTACCAGGTAATTGTTTACTTCATTGGCACTTGCTATATCTCATTTCCTTAGTTTTACCTCTTTTTTCATAATTTTGCAATATGTCCTTTATACTAATAGTTTTTATCTTTCTGAAGTTAGAATTATTTTTAGCAATAGTAGCATTTTGGGTTAAATGCAACTCTTTCACCCAGAAGCGTTCAAATCAAGTGGCCACTGATAGCTTGAGTTTGACAGCCCCTGATTGATTGAGGGAGGGTCTCACTGTATTGCATTCCTGAGCTGAAGCCATCTTCTGCATAGCTGGGATTACAGCTGTCTGTCACGTGGCCCAGCTCTCTGTCCTTTACTTTGAAAAACTTCAGAAAAAGTGGAACCCTTTCAAATTAAAATAGAGTGATTATTTTCACAGCCTATGTTCTTGCTGTTTTTTCAAAAATATAATTAGCTGATTTTTTTTCCTTAGGCAATTCAGCAACAGAGCTCTTCAGAAACTGAGGGAGAAGGCGGAAATACTGCAGATGCAAGCAGTGAAGAAGAAGGTGACAGAGTAGAAGAAGATGGAAAAGGCAAAAGAAAGAATGAAAAAGGAGGCTCAAAACGGAAAAAGTCATACACTTCAAAGGTTACTTGAGAAACTCCCTGCAGTTATTAATGTTACATGTACATTCATTAGAAGTTTTTAGTTTCTTTTCAGTTTTTCTACTGGATACATAGAAATACATAGTACATTCTGTGGAACCTCTGCCTTTAGGGACAGTAGTAGAGCAGAGGGAGTCAGAAGGGTAACCTTAGGTGTTAAAGTAGTCTGGCTATCAACTCTTAAGGGCTGATTTGGTCCTGAAAATACCACCTTCTTAGTTGAAAGAGGACTGTTCTCTATTTAAGGATAGAATATATAAGTGTCTGTGCCTCCTACAATAACCTCCAAATGCGATCTGAACAATTTAGGAATATAGGAGACGTTATAACACACACACACACACACACACACACACACACACACACACACACACACACACCATATATGTAATTAACAGATTGTTGTCTGTGCTTCAAAGAATGTGCTTTGGCTTTTTGTTTTCTGAATTCTTAAATTTCCTGATCACATAGTCTACACCAGACACTGAACTACAGTAGTGAGCAAATCCATCTCTGTCCCTACCCTCTTGTAACTTACAGTGCAATGAAAGGGGTCCCACAGTAAACAAAAAAAAACCCTAATAACTATGAATTGTGAAAGGGCTATGAAGTAAATGAACGGGAGCAGCGAGTCACAGGTAGGAGCACCTGCTTCAGAAGGGTAGCCAGGCCTTTTTGCAAAGGTCAGGCTTATACTGAGACCTGAGAGAAGGGTATGGAAGGAGGAGCCTTCTCTAGGAAATGAGTGTGGCCAAGAGCAAGAAACAGCTGCAAACTTTGGAAGTGAAATGTTTAGTATGTTCCTAAATTGAAAGAAGGCAAGTATCGCTGGAGAATCATGATTATAGGCAGGCAAAGGCCAAGTAATGCAGACTTGTAGACCATACTATGAAGTTGGGATTTTATCCCAGGGTAACAATAAGGTTTGTTTATTTGTTTGTTTGTTTTGGTACCAGGGATCAAACTCAGGTCCTTCAGCTTTTAGGCAGGCTGCAGAATCACTGAACTAAAATCCCTGGCCTAAATGCCATTATTGAAGTGAAGGGTAAATACGTAATTCACTTGCTAAGGTTTATCTTTTTTTTTTGCAGTACCAGGAATGGAACTCAGGACCATGCATTTGCAAGGCAGGTGGCAACAGCACTGAGTTAAATCCCTAGCCCTTGGTCTGTCTATTTTAAAGGGTCATTTCCTTTGTTTTCCTTCAAAATCATAACCTCCGTGATCATTTGAGAACTATGACTTTGTTATTTTTAGAGATGGGGATTGAACTCAGGTCCTCATGCATGTTAGGCAAGTACACAGAACCATAACTTATTATTCTTAATTACAGTGGTTCCTTGGTTGACAAACTCAATTCTCTCCACTAAACTGGATGAGAACCAATTCATATTTCCCCATAAGGTAAACATTGGATTGTGGAAAGAATAAAATTTGTGAACCGAGGTACCACTGGTTTTTTGGATAACATAGAGTGAATATAAACTCCATTCCTATGTGAAGGTTTCCTTGTGGCTTTTAGGGGATTCTTTTTTATTTCTTCCCTCCAGAACCAAGACAGATAGTTTTCCTTACTTACGTAAAGAGTTATCTCTTTATGAGATAGGTGTTTTTGTTGTTTGTTTTTTCTGATTTACTTTTCACTGACATACCCTGGCTCTGTATGGAGATCAGTGTTTTATCTCCAGCTTTCTGGAGGTACTCACACTTGTCTAATTGCCTATTTTCTGGGCCCAAACTGTGAAGCCATATGGTCTGGGAATCAAAGTTCCAGGTGAGGCTGATGCTGCTGATCTGGGAACCACACCTAGAGGATCATTTACCTAGCATTATTTCATTGCTTTTTTGCCTTCCTAAATATTGTCCTTTTTATGGGTATGCTGATTTTTTTTAACATCTCTCTCTTAACGTAAAGGTCTTCCTTTGCATTGAAAACTACTAGTTTCCAAACTTTTTAAAAACATCCCCGGTGAAGAGGAAAGGTCCCAAACCCTCTGTCTCACTATGTCTTTTATTAACATGTTAACAACAGGAGCATAAAGTAGAACCACCAGTACTATATCTATGACTGTCCCATTGGGCAGCATGGGACAGTTCTTTTGGGTGGTACAGGCCACCTGATGGGACAGTTGTATTGTACTTTTGGTGAGAATGTGTTTTTATCTTTTTGTTTTGATTTGTTTTTTTATACTGGGGATCAAACTCAGGACCTTGCGCTTGCAAGGCAGGCAGCAGAACCACTGAGCTAAATCCCTGACCCAAGAATGTTTTTTTAAAAATAAACTCAGTAATCACAATGAAAATCACAGTCTAACAGACCTGAAGGTAGTTACATATTTCTTAAGCAGTAAAGGTATGAATGATTTATTTTTGAGCTACAGTAGGTACTAGAAAATTATCATTCAAATATATTTTGAATATATCAGTCTCACAACAAATTAAACATGATGCTAAAACTCCAATAGTTTTAGTTTTAAAACAAGGATAGCAACTAGTGGACAGTGAATTTAAGATCACACTAATTTTTATTTATTTTAAACAATAATTTTTTAAAAAAGTGTTTTCAGGAATTCTGTGATCTCAAGAGCTCTGCAAATTACAGTCTGGTAGCCCAATTTCTTAGTAAAATAATGAATATTGTGACACATTAGTAAAAGCATAGTAATGCCCTCATTCCAGACTATGTATACTAACTAATATTAGAAAGGCACTTATTAGATTACTCAGAAATAACCTTTACAAACATAAATTTTAGGATTGTTACTTGAGAATTATTGCATAAGGCGGTTGCCACATTTTAACAATTAAGCTATATTTACTAAAAACACACTTCACTTTTCCAGTTTCATTCTTGAGCTTAGTTTTTAGCTCTAGACATTGCACATTTGGATTATTGAATCTTTGTTTTTCCCTTTATTTAAAAAGTAAAAGTGATTACATTTAAAGTGACACTTTGGGCTTGGTTGGTAGTTTTAGCAAAGTAAAATGGAAGCAGTTTGATTATATATTCTATCACAAACCAATAAGATATTTTCTCTTTAGCAATTGCATTTTTTTAAAAACTGATTGTCTGAGAAAGCTTTAATTTGCAAATTCATCTCTGGAGACCAAAAGTGACTTGCCTACACAAGTTTTGCCTTATCTTTTATTTGCAGTATGCTTTAAGATTCTTAAAATTTCTTAAAGAAGAAATGTTAGAAAAATGCTACATTTTACTGTTTTAAGTTGCACAGTTGGAGCCAGCTTTTTAATCACTTCAGGGCTGTTCTGCTGAGCCACTCTTGTTGCAAACCATAATTGTATTTTCATCTTCCTCTAGAGTTCATCTTGATTTCAAATGCAAGATGACAAGAAGAAAGGACTGGTTCACCAGTTTAGCCTGGGGTTCTTAAGTAACTCATAATTTGAAAGATTAAAGCTGATTCATAGTCACAAGAACATAAAAGTTTTGTCAAGATATTTCTATGTATACCCTAAGCAAGAAACTTCAACAGGTATTCTAACATGAATGTCCATATATTGTCTTGGAAAGTTCACCTCACTTCTCTGGATTTCCACTACAATAAAAACAAAAGGGAAGGACAGAATGACCTTTAAGGTGCCTTGCAGTCCTGTGGTCTTTCTAAGGTGCTGTTCTCACAGCTAGGTTTATCCATTGACTATTGTTGGTACATGAATCTTTATTTTCCACCATTAATATCACACTGCTGAAAAGAAGTAAGAGGTCACCTAATCCACCTCTTCCGTTCCAGCTGGTTAGACTGATGCCTGGAGAGGTGAATGGATTTTTCCAGTGTCACCTACCTCAACCTTGGCACGCTGCATGTTGTATCTGTGTATAGCAAGGACAGTATACAGGCTCACTACTTCTGCATCTCTTACTTATGCCAGGACATTTGGATTTTGTGCTTTTGACTGTAATTTTCAACTTGTCTAAACATTTAGAAATCTTCTAAACAATCCCGGAAATCTCCAGGCGATGAAGATGATAAAGACTGCAAAGAAGAGGAAAACAAAAGCAGCTCTGAAGGTGGAGATCCTGGAAATGACACAAGAAACACAGCTTCAGACCTGCAGAAAACCAGCGAAGGGGTAAGGATATATGTGTAATCTCTCTTGTCTCTGTTAACACAGAAGACATTTTGCTTCAGAATCTGTGTTTGTATCTCAGCATTAGTAAACAATTGCATTAGTGAGTGAATGTATTCACAGTTTGTTATGTGCATCAGCACATAAGTGATTGGGTCCTGAGTCTGAGAAAAAAACAGAGCTAGATGAGATTACACCTGCCTGTCAGTTCAGAGCTCTGAATAGGTTTATTCTTTTTTAAACTAATATTAGAAAATTCAGAGTCTTTTTAGGTAATGCAAATTATTGAAATTATGAACTTTGACAGTCATATTTATTGTATCACAAAATAAATGTGATGTTCAAAATAGGTTATTATATATTGCTACTTCTTTCCCGGAAGCAATATATAATTTAATATACCCATGGAGAATATTTAAATATTCAGACAGTATGAATATTGATATTTAAAGTGCCTATAGGAACCATTGTATCCATTTAGACTCATTAACTTCTGTTAAACTGTTAACTTCAACATGGTAGGCAAGCCTACACTTGTAAAAGTGGTTAGTCAAGGCAAATATCCACCTGGGTGTTTTCTTTATGAGGACTAGTTGGATGATGTCAAATTATCTTGATAACCCATGAAATGTATTGGTACTCTTCAGCTAAACTAATTTCATTTGAGTTCTTGCCTATCAAGTCAGTTCTCCCACCAGGCATGGTGGCACATGCCTGTAATCCCAGCATTCAGGAGGCTGAGGCAGGAGGTGCTGTGAGTTCAAGTCAGTTCTCCCACCAGGCATGGTGGCACATGCCTGTAATCCCAGCATTCAGGAGGCTGAGGCAGGAGGATTGCTGTGAGTTCAAGACCAGCCTGGGCTACATAGTGAGTTCCAAGTCAGTCTCAACTTCATAGTGAGACCCTGTCTCAAAAAACAAACAAACAAACAAAAAAAATCAAGTCAGTTCTATTTACCTCTCAATTTTTCCCTTTTTCATCCCAGTTATGTATAATTACCCTCAAAGCATTATAATTCTAATTCTTCCTCCCTTTCTCTCACCCAGCATAGCCTTCCTCTGTCTTCTGCCTATCCTCTCCTCCTGACATTTCTTCAGTAGATCAGCTGTCATTGCCCATGCCTTCCCAGGAACACATATTTGCCCACCATCACTGAGGGTCTGAAGACTTGGCTTGCTTAATTTTCCTTTCATCCTACTATTGTCTTCATCCCAGGTAGCTTCAGTATACTTATTGCAAAAATCCTCACAATTTCCATCCCTCTTCTACTAAACTTATTTGTAGATGCACTTCTTCTGACAGGAAAAGTCAACTCCTTAGAGTGTCTGTGGTGGCTTGGAGCTTGTAGAAAGGCATAGCCTCAGACTCTACCCCTGCCCTGAGTGTTCACATGCGTGTTAAGGTTTGTGAATCACTCACCTATGCCTTTCTTTTGCTGGAGTCCAGAATATCATCTTTTCTTGCTCTATGATGCCAAGTCACTTGACCCCCCTTTTCTCTCCTTTACTGTCATGTTCATTGTCTCCTTCCCCTCTGCATATAACCAGATTTCCTTTCATCTGAAGATACCATCCATCCACCATCTAGCTTACTTTTTTCACCTTTCTTTTTATCTCTAAACTTCTTAAAAGAGCTCTGTTTTTCCCAGTCTTCATTTCCTCACCTCATACTCATGAATAAATCCATTGCATTCATGTTTCTTCTTCAGGTGGTTCACTGGAACTGTTCTAGTGATTCTCATTGCCGAGCCCAGTATCTCCTTTACTCTTCATTTTCCCCTCTGCAGCAGTAGCTGCACTTTCTTTTCCTCACTTTTCTTTGCCAGTCTGCTTCCTCTTGCTGTTTGCTCTCAGTCTCTTTCTAGATCTCCTTTCTTTAGTCTGTCTTGGCAGACTTGTCTCCTCTGAACACTTCCCATGTCCATCTTTTCCGCTCCAGGGTTTCATCTTTAAAAGAGATACATTGTGCCTTCCCATTCTATAATCTTGCATTGAAGATTCTTTTTTTATTGATACATTGAAAGCCCTTCAGAAAATAGTAGTTGCTACTAGATAGCAACAGCAGCCTATGTGCCATTTAATTTTTTACCACACAGATTCCAGGTGATAGGTGCAGGTGTCATCTCCATTTTTTTACCTAAAAAAGCTGAAACTGAAATGATCCACCCATGGTCATACAGCTAATAAAAATCAACGATCCTTTTTTATTTTTAGCCTGTTTTTAATAATACCTTTTACATACAAAAGAATGCAAATATATAATACATAAAGTTAATGTAATATTATTGTAATAAATACCAGAGACCCTCAACCCCAAAACTAGAACATAACAATTTACTTGAATCTATATATGTTCTTTCCAGTTCCATCTTCTTCCTACCCAGAGATGAGCACTAATGTATTTATCATTTCTTTTCATTGTAAAATTTGTAGCTCATACCTCACATGTATACATACTTAAACAATATATTATTAGTTGGACATGATGTCGTATCCCTGTAATGCCAGCATGTAGGAGGCTGAGGCAGGAAGACTACCACAAGTTCAAGGCCAACCTGGGCTACACAGTGAGTTCAAGACTAGCCTGGACTATACACAGCGATAAACTGTCTCATAAACAGACAAACAAACAAATAAATAAAGTGTGTGTGTATATGTGTAGTTTAATTTTGTTAGATTTTTAACTTTTTTAGAAAATGATGGCATTTGCTTACTGCTGCGCTTTTAAGATTTCTTCATGTGGTTATATGTAGCAGTAGTTTACGCATTTTTCACCACTGTCTAACACTCAGCTCTGTGAGCATACCACAATTTATTTATCCAGTGTCTTACTGATAGCTATTTGCAGCTAAGAAATGTGTTGCTGTAAGCATTCCCATTTCATCTCCTAGTACACATGTGCAGGTCTTGCCTATAACTAGAACTGAAAATGCCAAGTCACAAGTTTGTGGTTTTAACTTTACAAGATATCAAATTATTTTAAGCGGTTGAGCCAATTTATAGTCTCACCCAGCAGTGTTTAAGAGTTACCTGAAATAAACTTGGCTCATCAGGCATTTTTATTTTCTTGCCAAATGGGTATAAAATGGTTATTATAGTGTTGACTTGTGATTGTCTGATTAATGCGAAGATTGAGCTTCTTTTTGTGTTTATTGATCACTGTTTCCTTTCTGTGCAGTGCTTGTTTTGGAGGTTTTACCCATTTTCCTGTTAGATTTTATCCCTCATCAATTTGTAGGGCTTTGTATTTCCTGGATTGTAACAAATGCAGATTTTCATATGCCTTGCAGATGTTTTCTTCAAGTTTGTGGCTTGTCCTTTCAATTTTCTCTTAGCCTTTTAGAAAACCTAATTTCTTAATTGGATTGTAGTCAACTATATGAAACTCTTCTTTCTATGGTTAGCATTTTTCTTTCTTATTTAACCATAACCATTTGAACCAGCACCGTGTTGATTCCTTTTCTCTCTGATCTGCATTGCATCTGCCATGTGTTTGTGTGTCTTTCTGGACTCTGGACTCTGTTGCTTTAATTATAGTAGCTTTCTAATGAGCCCTTATATTTTATAAGGCTAATAGCCTACTACTGAGTTTTTTTTAAAACTCTATAGTAATGGTCTGGGATAAAATAGCAAAAGGGGCTTTTTTTTCCCCTTTGATAGGAGAATATGTAACACATAAACTGGAAAGAATGATCCAAGTGGGAATTACTACAGAATGTAAATGTAAGAAAAATTGTTGAAGCAATGTCCTTTAGAAGGCAAAGAGGGATAAGAGCTAGGGCATATAGGGAGTATAACCCTATTGAAACAGGAGGGGAGGCCACGGAGTACTTGGGCTCGGGCACAGGCAAGTGGACACTTAGGGTGAGAGTTTGTAAAAGTTCTCATGTGATTGCTTTTGTTTTCTGTGGAAACAAGGTCCGAACTTGGAGTGAGAATAGGAAAAAGTGCTGAAGTTCCAAGAGAGGAGAAAGGGGTAAAATAGTCACAGAATAAATAGAAGAGTGAGTGGACTTGAGAAGTGAAGTTGAGTTGCCAGGCAGCAGAAGGAGCCCACTTGAAGCTGGTTGTCGTGAATTTAAAGTGAGAGCAGTAAGAATGACAGTGTGTTTTCTCCAGGTGTGTTCAGTTATGCGATCACAGAGGGGGTAGAGAATTGAATTTAACTAGAATTGGGTTTTTTCCAGAGATCAGGGTGAAGTTGATTAGAGGCCAAGGAGTTAAGGGTATGTGCATGCAGGGAGGAGCTCTATTTTAACCATGGAATTTAAAGATAGATAGGACCAAATTTGAGTATGAAAGTATTGGAGTTGGAATACTGGATAAAATGAGCTAGAAATACAGATAGCAAAGGGAGACCAGGCTGTTTGAATTAAAATATAAAAGGGTTGCAGTTACTAAGACATTCTGGTTGCTGCTGACATTATAAATGGGACCATTTTTCATCGCGTAAGCACTAGCCACATCACAATACATTTAGTAGCCTTGGCCCCAGCCCACTGAATGCCAGTAGAAACCATCATTCTTATGACAACCTAAAATGTCCCATAATTTTGTTCTCAGAACAGTGACTTAAAACTATAGTTAGCAATATTCTGTGTGGCTGAAATATCACTTGTCTAAGAAATAACCATAGAGCGGGGCACAGTCATACACACCTATAATACCAGTTACTCAGGAGATGGAGACAAGTTCAAGGCCACCCTTGAGCAATTTAAAGGAAGGAATAAAGAAGGAAGGGAAAGAGAAAAAACAAAAGGAAAGGAAGGGTGGAAGGAACCATGGGAACAAGTTACTAAAGTAGGGTCACCTTTGGAGGAGAGGACACCAAGAGACCAGAGTATGGGCAAGATGGTCTACACAGATTTGAAATCACAATTTTAATATGGAAAAAATAGATGAACATAAGCAACAAATGTTATCTTGGCAAAACTCACCTTATTTCTTATATACTAAAACAAATTATAAAATGAGATTTATAATGGTACCAATTTATAATTGGC